CTCTAGATAATGATTATCGAATACATACGGTGCCTCACATGTATTAATTCATAATACTGTCATAATAATCCCGGGCCTGTTTTGCAGACGGAGAAACTGAGGCCCGAGAAGTTCTGTGATTTGCCGTGATCACATGCCCAAAAAGTGACTGAAATGAGATTTGAATTCAGAAAACCTGGCTCTGAGTATAACTGCAGCCTCTGTTAACTCTTCAGATTGAGTAATTAAAAAGCACTGCTGTGTAACCACACGCTGCTCGCTACATCGTGAGTGCTTCTGATGGGTGGTGCTACCAGTCCATTTTTGAAATATGCAGCATATAGCCTTGGGAAAGAGAATTATGGAGTAATAAAGAATCAGAACATTTGACAACTATTAGAGAAACTGCTTAGACAACATCACGTCCAAAAATCTCATTTTAGAAAAGATGAAACCAAGGCTCGAGAAGTTGTGACACGTAAAAGTTGGCACAGCAAGACTGGATGGATGGATCCTAGCTGTGCCTTCATCCAGCCCATCCCCTAACCTCAATACAAGGTTCTTTCCACTGCTGCTGACACCTGATTTCACAGGAGCTTGGAGGCCTAGAACATTGCTGGGGGATGGTTTTTGTGGAGCAGAGACAGAATTGTGAGCTGGCCTCTGAGAGAGAAGCACGAGGCTAAAGCGAGACCAGTGCCTGCATTTTCCGTGTGCTCTTCTCTCCCCTTACAGCCCATCACTGTCCTCTCTCCCTCTCCCCTTCCTCCCTCACATCAGCTCCTCCACAGCCCTTCCTGTCTCAGTGAGCAGCCCCACCTCCCATCCAGTTGCTGCAGCCAGCGAGCTGGGCCCTCCTCCTTGCTCTCTGCTCCTCATGCCCCACGTTCATGGGTTCTACTCCCAGTCACCTCTCTGATCTGCTCCCTAGCCATCCTCACAGTCCCTGTCCTGGCCCAAGCCACCGTCACCTGTCACGCAAACCACCTTAGCGTCTTTGTGTCCCATTTTGGCTGCCTACACCAATCCACTTGCTGGTCAAAAGAGCCATCGTTTGAAAATCCTGGAATGACCACATACCGCCACCACTGAAAGCCCTTGGGGAAGGTGGAGGACTCTTGGGATAAAATCCAAATTCCCTAACCTCATGAGCTGTTTCCATGAGAGTGGAGAGGAAGAGACTGGTAATGAAGATGTTCACCCGCTGGAAGAGGGGCACAAGACAGGAAAGTAAGTGCCCGTGCACGGAGCTGAAGCTTTAGGAGGCGGGGTCCGGGATGGCGCCCAGGGAAAGAAATACAGGAATCACTCGGGTATGAGCTCGCTGAGTAGCGACCCCATGTCTGTCCCCCCAGCCCTCTCAATTGACAATTACTGCCAGGCCTCACCGAAGGAGAGTCTTATCTTCTCCTGTAATTAAGGACCCAGATATTTTTAGTTTCACCATAATCGATTATGCGCAGAGTGACTGACATCCATGGCCTCCCCAGGGGAATGAGAGTGAGGAGGACGTTGTCTCAGCTCCTCCGGCAGCCCGATGGGAGGGAAGAAAAGTATTGGGCAGGGTCTGTGTCACCTTTGAGGCGGCTTCCTTTGGGGGTCCTCAAGATGGAGAGGACAAGTATTTCCTTATTATATTGAGTGATAAACTTCCAAGTCTTCTTCGATCCCAGTGTTAGTGGGGCTGTACCCTTCTCAGCCTTGTCAGAAGAGAAGGGGTAAAAGATGCCATGATCTGAAGGTAGCTTCTCCTCTTTCATCCTGAAGTGATTGAAGAATTAGAACCTCCCAGAACTCCAGAGCCGGAGAGACCTCGATGTCACTGCCCCACCCCTCACTTCACAGAAGGGGAAGCAGCAACGCAAAGGACAGAAAAGTCTCATCAATGCCCCAAAACCAGTTTGTTTCTGAGGCAATCATAACACCCTGTTGTTCTGGCACACAGCTGGGGACTCTCTCCACGCGCACAAGTCATTACACATCAGGCTTCTCACATGCGAAATACACGCATTTCTTAGCAATGTTTGGAACCTTCCATTTCATGTGTGAGCCAACAGCATAACAAGGACTGTGTTTTAAAATGGTGCCATGAAATAAAAGAGTCTCAAAACTTCTACACGGCTTGTTCCCAGAGGGATATTTACCAGATGGGGGTCATGTATATTTGTATATATTTTTAGGACAGGGAGGGAAGAGATGTTTTCCTTATCAAAAATAACAGGGAGGGGTAGTCTCCCCTGGACATCTCTGCCGAGGGTCCTGGACTCACAGGCATCTGTTCCACCTGCTGGAGGGAGCTCACCCAAGTCGCTCCGACGTGTTTTCTTCACGAGGTTCATCCCATTCAGGTTTTTTTATTGTTGTAGGCACTGAGTGTATGAAGATGAATAAAACACGGATTTGCCTTGGAGAGCTTAAAATCCTCTGAAGAATGCAGACAGATTCACAAATAACCGTATGGCCAGATCCCACAGGGTCGGTGTTGGAGGAGTCCCACAGAGTCAGTTGGGAGCCCAGATGATGAAATGATCCTGACAGGAAGGAAAAAAACAAAGCAGATCTGGGGAGGCGGCCGCATCTGAGCTAAGCCTTGAAAGACCGGAGGATATCAAGAGGGGGAGAGGAATGTGGAGAAAGGTATGGCCGGCCAAAGACTCATGAGCATTAGGTTGTAGGAGGACACGACAGGTGGCAAAAGAAGGAGGGGAGGTCTGGGGTGGGAGTGCAGCCTGAAGGGCAGGGCTGCTGGGAGGCTCCGCAATGGGGGCAGGACAGAACCTTCTAGTCCTGAAAGAAGGGGACTTGTTCTGGCATGTGAGGGCCTCCCTCACCCCTGGGTGTCCTGCCTCCTCCTCTTCCTCCTCAGAGATCTCATGCTTCCTCCCTTCACCACAGCAGGCTTGACAAAGGGGTATCACAGATGCTCCGTGATGCCACAGGGTGTGGCCATGCAAGGATGCCAAAGGACAGTGGTATCTCCAGAGACCAGAAACTGCCCCTGGGCGTCTCAGAGAGGGCGGGAAGCAGCCTTCATGGGGTTGTCTTGTCCCAGGGTGGGGTGTTGAGGACCAAGGCCTAACTGAGAAGTAAGGCACTCGGAAGACCTGTCTCTGGGCACTACTTCACACTCAGCAAAACCTCAACAGAAAAATAGAAATCAAACAGGAAATCCATTCCTGTACAGAGAGGAAGAGAAACTGATGAAAGGAGAGCTTTGGGTTAACTGGTCAAGATATTTAAAAGTGAAACTTTGAAAATATTTAAAAAAATTAAGCATTTATTGAGTGAGTAGCACATGGTGGACATTGTGGCCAATGATTTGGGAGCTTTATTCTACATACCCAGAAGGCTTAATTATCATCAGACATTTGCTGGGTGAGAGAAAAATCTGAGCCAGTGAGTGAGTTGGTTGATGTCAATGGTCAGTGTCTTGGAGTTAGGATAACTTGTTCCTCCTGGTTTGCCAGATGTGAGCACGGCCGGTCTCACGTCCTAGGAACCCCCCAGTCCCGGGTGAACTAGGGTGGCTGATTGCTCAAAGTCTCTCTCTCTCTTCATTTTAGGGTTTACTTCTGGAGAGACCTGGACAGCTGTCTCATCAGGCCCCTTCTCTTCTGGCCAGCTGTGGTAAACGCTGCCACATTCCAATTTCTGTATCTTACAGTTCTTTCTTATAATCCTGTGCTTTCTTCCAACACCTGATGCTGTAAGTTCATCCTGAAATGAGCACTGCAGGTGAGCTCAGTCCATATTGCTCCCTCTCCCAGCATGCCTTCCAGCTCTGGGGGGATGACCAGTGCCAGGATTCTGCAGACTCACCTGCCCGTCAGGCAGGAGATCCAAAGTGAGTCTGGGAGGAGCAAGTGGGCAAAGCAAGTTGTCAGCCTCTGGTTGGGAGAGTGGACTGTGCGACAAGCCCATTGTTCGTCTTCTCCCCGGGCCAGGAGGGGCAGGATGGCTGGTCGACTCAGCAGCTTCCTCATCATGGCGAAGGCTTGATGCTTCTGGTCCCCACCAGTTCCATTAACTGGCCTGTGCTTCTGAGTGCAGACAGTTCACCTTGAGTTCTCCTGATGATGTTAGGAGTTGTCAGTTACTGTACCCAACACTCTTCTTGCATAAATTAGCCAGAGGATCCTGCAATTTGCAACCTCCAAACCCATAGACTGGTACAGATGGTAACAAGGATGCCATCACCCATAGCTTAATAGTAGCTTTCTAGAATGCTCTCATTGGAAGGAAATCGGAGGCTGTGTCCAGGCTCCAGGAGAGCGCTTGCCCTGAAGGCCTGGGGCTCTCTGTTATGGCACCAGAGAGAGGAATCCAGTTGGGATACACTCCCACCCTCTGTGGTTGAGACAGTTGACAGAAACAGGTCTTTCCTCTTTTGTTTTACATCCATACTGTCCTGTGTAGGGGATCTTCTGCTAAGCCGTTGACTTTGTCAGGGTAACTCTGAAAATCAGAGATTTTAGACCTATGTCTTCACACCGAATTTACAGAAATAGAAGCTACGATGTCAAGGGTTATCTTTGATGTCAAGGGTTGAATAATTGTTAGTGTAACTTTTTGAAGAATGTAAATGCTTTGTTGAAAATTTCTGGCTCAGGAAATATAAACAAGATTTGAAGATTTCCATTCCAGTATACATTTTCACTATATATGTCTCTGTGTATTATACTATGTACGCATTACCTTTAAGGAGCATTATAAATAAAGTGGCAACAGAGAAGGAAAGAAGTTCTTAATCAAATTTAAATCTGTGTAGATTCCATTTCTTACCATCATAAGTTCCCTTTACTAGTCAGTAGGGTTTTTTTTTTGTTTTGTTTTTAAAGATGTTATTTATTTGACAGACAGAGATCACAAGTAGGCAGAGAGGCAGGCAGAGAGAGAAAGCAGGTCCCTGCTGAGCAGAAAGCCCAATGTGGGGCTCGATCCCAGGACCCTGGGATCGTGACCTGAGCTGAAGGCAGAGGCTTTAACCCACTGAGCCACCCAGGCACCCCTACTAGTCAGTAGTTTAAAATAAAATTTGGTTTGGTCCTCTATAAAAAGTTTGTAATACGGGCTTACAATAGAAACTTTGTTATACTGGCTATAGAATGTGACTATTACAGGAGACAGAATCTTCTTAACTATAAACAAAGCTGTCAGGCTTGTGCTATTTTCTCTTCCACCGTGTAGGTCTCTTGGGTTCTCCTGTCGGACACAGAGCACCTCAGCTGGCTCTTCTCACAGCTGGAGAAAGAAACTAAGGCCACTCTGCTCTAATCCAAACACAGGGCATAGTTTCTTCCACAATTCCTAGAGTTTTGGGCTCCTCGCTATCTCTCGCTTATCCCACCTCCACCCGAAAGGCCTCATCCCCTGGGGGATGTTCTCTCCTCTGGATATTTTTACCTTCAAAATCAGAGGGTGCAAAGCTGACGTCTCCCCAGCCGGTAACGTGGCATTGTCCAGCCACTGCCTGTTCCAACACCTGTTGACACAAAATGAACCAACATTTTTAAAATTTTTAAAGAGAAAGGAAAAGAGTTTTATCTGAGCCCAAGTTAGGACAGCTGCCTAGGATATACGATCTTCACAAAGAAGAGCGTGCTCTGGGGAAGGAACATTTGATCTGGGGTTCTATATATATGTATATATATATAAACATTAAGAGTTACATATCATTAGGACGAAAGACATTCCAGAAAGTGACAGACTTTATCTTATGTTTTTAGTATGTGCAAGGCTCTATGACCTCAATCTTATGGGAACCAGGGAGATTTGTTTTTCTTATCTTTGTGTTTGGAAGGGTCCTTTTGGTTCTTTCTTTCTTTCTTTCTTTTTTTTTTTTTTTAACAAAGCAGATGCACAAGTATGTGCAGGGCAGAAATAGAGTCCACACTTTGAGGTTTAGCTCTGTCAGTCTGACCTTGGTGAAAAAGTAGAGCTTCCCTGGGAGCCCACAAACATGAAAAGTTGAAAATTTCCTTTATGATACCCAAGAGTGCAAGAGTGGGGGCGCCTGAGTGGCTCACTTGATTGAGTGCTCCACTCTTGAACTTGGCTCAGGTCATGCTCTCATGGTTGTGGGATCGAGCCCCATGTTGGGCTCCGGGCTCAGCAGGGACTCTGCTTGAGATTCTCTCCCTCCCTCTGCCCCTCCCCCCACTCATGCTCTATAAATCAATCTATCTTTATGACCCCCAAGACCCCCAAATCTTTATGACCCAAACTGAGGCACGAGGACAGGAAACTTCTGGAACTGGAAAGAGCTGAAAATAATCTTCAGGTTTTTCTCTCTTTTCATCAAGAGCAGGGGTCCTCCCTAAGAGTCTTTTCCTTGCAAGCAATAGCAATCACCATAAACATAACCTGAGCATTGTTTTTTTTAAAGCAAGTGGAACATGGTTATTATAAGACGGTGGAACAAACGTTTCCAGTGGGTGTGTGAGGAAGAGGATACCCTGGAAACCCGGGGCAGCTATGACCCCTCCTCTGTCTGGCCCTCACTTGCCACAGAGCCTAACCTGGGCTTCTGAAGGCTCAGCTGTCTTCCTGGCCTTGGGCAGCGCCTGACTATTGAGTTAAACCAGAGGACTGAATCCTGACTGCCCCTCTTCAAGCTACGTGACCTTTACTCAAGGCGCTTGAGACGTGAGTGCCCTGGACTCGGATGAGAACAGTGAGAGTTCCCACTCCATGAGGCTGTGCTGAGGATCAGATGAGCTCATCCATGTGGAAACAGTGCCTGGCGCAGAGCCAGCCCTTAATATTTATTAGCTATTAATCTGGTTATATTCTCCTCTTTCTCCCTGTGGGTCAGTTTTCTTGGCTTCACTGGGTCTATGTCCAAGCCTGGCCACCCCACAGTGGTGACCCCACTTCTAAGTCTACACCACGCCAATCCAGGCCAACAGCCAGACTAAAAATGATTCTCTCAGTCTCCAAACCAAAATCTCAGCAGAAAGAATCTTCTTGATTTGGTCGTGGTCATGGAGGCAAGTGAAGTCAGCTGTGAAAGTCTGAGTTGTGTGCATGTGGGAGTGGGGGTGGCAGGGTGGGGAGTGGAGAAGATAGTGGTAGTTCTCAAAGAATGACAAGGCTTCTTCATGGCTCATTACTCTTCCCCAGAAGGGGGAGCCCAGCCACATTTTGTGGTGTTTTGTGTTAAGTCTTTATTGAGCACTGTTGGTGCCCATCCCAGATACCTAGTGTCCTTTTACCGTATCTGTGTGTGGCTTGCCCCCTTGACCCCTGCTTTGCGTTTTGGTTCCAAACTGCCTTGGATCTACAGAGTCATTCTGCTCATAAGCTCAGAGGGCCAGAAGGGCCTGGAAGTCTTTGTCTTCCCTTCCTCCAGGGCCAGCTACAACTTGGGACTGCCAGCCACCCATGAGGAGGTCTGACAGCCCAGCATCCTTGCCCCACATGGGGACACACTCTGAGGCACAACTTACCCTCCCAGTTCTCCCCTGGGGGGGGGTCAGGCTGAGGATGGGGGTTTGCATGGGTTCTTCCCCTTCTATGTCTGGCCTCCCCTTCCTCACTGGCTTCCCCTGGAAGCATTTCCTTAATAAATGACTTACACATGAATCCTGCTCTGAGGGTCTGTTTCTGGAGCTCAATTTAAAACAATCCCACAGATTAAAAAAAAAAAAAAAAAAAGAGTCTGAACTCATTTGTGAGCCATTAATGGATGGAACTGATGTCCGTGTGAAAAGAATTCTTGTGCTCCTCAGAGACTGGATTTTGTTCCTCAGCCTTGTGTCCTTTACTGGGTCCCACCCACCAAGAGGGGCTGTGAGGAACCCCGTCTCTGTCTGCAGAAAGTGATCTTCTTTCAGAGAAAACACGGAGGATAGCCACTCTTACTTACAAAAAGAAAAAAGAAAGACAAGAAGGTTGGTCTGGTATGTGACCTGCTCTTCTTTACTGTCCCCTTCCCCCGCGGCCAGCTGGGAAAGCAGTTTTAACTTTCAGAAAAATAGACTCTTCCTGCCAAGTCTGGCCGCCTGTCTGAATGCTAAACATGGGAACGCCGGGAAGTGGAGGGAGGATGAGAGATGACACTTCTAGGCCAAGCTGCCCCCTCAGCTGATCCTCACAGAGTAATAGTCCTAATTTGCCTGTGGGCATTGCTGCTGCTGATTACAAGGACGAGTGATCTGTGTGGCTTTCGGTGAGACACGTTCTCGCAGGGAGAGATCACACGGGGCTGGCTGTTACCTCAGGCCTCGACAGCCAAGGAGCTCTTTCTTGGGCTGACAGGGGCCGTATCTTCGAGGTGGGTCAGTCTCAATGCCAGGGAGACAGGACAGTCCCTGGTAGGGGCAGAGTCTGAGAGTCCCTAGTTCCTGACCCCACTTCAGAACATTCTGGCCACCTCGGTTGACACCAATGACTGAAATCCTACCGCACCAGTTCATTTCTTCGGGCTGAAGACACGTCTATTGTTAAAATATAAGCCTTTCAAGAGAGAGAACACATTTCCCTGTGACATTAACCAGGACTTTCTGGGTTTGGAAGCAATGGAAACTTAATTCAAAATGGTGTGAGCATAAAAGAGGATTTAATTGGCTCAGTAATCAGGGTGGATGGGCTTCAAGCACAGCTCGATCGGGTGCCAGAGCAATGTCATCCTAAATGTACTTTCCATTGCCAGCTTTGAGATTTCTCTGTGCTTGCTGCATTTTTAGGTGGCAAAGCCGGACTGCAGTAACTCTCTACTGTCCTCCTAACCCCAGAGGAAGGAGCACCTCTTGCCCCACCAGCCCAGCAAAAATCTCAGGACTGCTTCTCATTGGCTTAAGTCGAGTCATGGAGTCTCCATGAACCAGTCACTGCGGCTCTGACTGATGAGGCCTCTGTCATGCACAGGTGGCTGGAGTGGAGAAGAGGGGTGAGCCCCGCCCAAAGACTGGGAGGGAGTGGTTCTGCAGAGACAACTCAAGTGCTCTTACCAAGAGAGGGGAGGATGGGTAACGGGAAGACAAAACCAGCATCTGTCCACCACATTTACGCTTGATTTTCATACCTCTACAATCATGCCAAGCAAAAAGCCGCTCCCCGAAAGATGAGGCGTAGCAGAGATTGCAAAGACAAGTCTAGAGCCAGGTGCACTGTACTAGGAAACCAGGTTGGGGTGGGGAACACTGCATGAGGGCTCCTTGAGTTGCTAGGGGGCAACCCAGATACTCTGAGAGGTTAACAGTATCTTCTCAGGAGCTGAGAAAAATTCAACACCTTGCAAAAATTGGGACTTGAATTTCAGATAGCTTGATAGGTCTGGGCAGAGGGCTGGCACTACAGCTCACAATTCATACCAGTAGGTTGCCTGCCCCGGACTTGTAATGTCAGCCTTCAGCTGAGGAATGAAATACTCTATGAAGACCTTCCGTACTGTGGTCCCAGCATCTTTCACCATGCTTCAGGTGGGATGTTGGTGCCTGCCCGGCAGGGATAAAACCAGGAAGGGCATCCGTCTTTGTAGCTGGACCAGCCCATCATCTCTTTTTGACTCATATGACTCGCTGGCAGCTAAGAGTTACCGAGCACCCCCACTATAACACCCTCGCGAGGTCTGGCCTCATGCTCCCCTCTGAGGAGGAGGAACTAGATCTTACAGAAAGGAAGTGACAAGTGCGTGGTGGATCCAGGACGCAGACGCCATTTACCCTCCTTAAACACCAGGCCACCACCCAGAATTTGAAATCAAATGTAGAGGGGAGATATTGGAGGGATACAATTTAAAGCAAGTGGCAAGAAGGGGAAGGGAAAAAATCCAGCTGGACAAGACATGGCTGTGGACAGTCCGAACAGGGGCAAGGCACCAAAAGATGATGAGAGCACACCGCCCTTTGTTTGCTGAGATGACACACTCCGGTAGGACAGCCACATAACATGGTCTAAGCCAACACTGTTTGAGAATGAGAGGGCACTGTTAATAAGGAAGCAAGGGAGACGGTAACCAAATCCAGACCAGCTAGGGCAAACGAGGACTCGGGGTCCCTCTCACTGGAGCTAGGCTTTCTTCCGATAGTGGTGATGGACATGTGTGGATTCACCCACACATCCATCCCTCAGCCCCGCCATCCTGCATCCTTGTGTGGGCTGCAGGATGGCCTTTGAGGGATGCACCAACTGACCCCGATCTTTGAGGCCCGGGGCCCTCACCAGTTGAGTTCATTTCCAGACACTGTAGAGAGAGGGGACAAAAGACACCGTGTAAATAATTAACTTATTTAATTAACCCAATGATAACTAAGCAAGGCAGTGTGGCAGAGTGGATCAAGGATGTCCCTTTGAGGTTTAGGTTCGGATCCCACTCTGTGAACTTGGACAAGTGTCTCCGGGACTCGGATTCCTGAGCTGTAAAATGGGAATGAGGGCACAGAATGCCTCAGCTTTTACTTCATCTTGAGCACTGGGCCAACCCCTCTATATGGGTACTTAATCGCAGCATCGTTATAACAGTATGAGGCAGGTACTGAT